TAAGTATGTATGGCGACGCGGAAGTCCTCGTGGCAGACAGCTGAATCGATGATCAAAGGTGGTTTCCTTTTTCGGCCAACCTCGTACGCGGTGGAGCGCGTAAAAGTCCAAATATCAGGGCACGAGAAATAGATGGTGCCAGACATACCGTATTTCAGATTCTCCGAATACAACGACACGTTTTGTGCATTCGTATCACGACCAACGACTTACTACCTCGCATTGTTTTAACATCATTGGCTTCACACTGGAAACCAGTCAAACAATTCATTTGTCAATTACAAATAATTACCAGCTTGACATATTCATTACTAGTATTACACTCTTCCGATGATTATGATTTTGTCTTTTACGTACAAAAAATCAAACAAATTTTACACACGTTGTTATTTAAAATCATAACACATGGTATTATGACGGGAGAATCTCTAACTTCCCTATTGCTGAAATAAACATGGGTAACGAACGTGTTAACGCGAACATTTTCTATTTCTCAGCCTCTTTCGTGACACATCCTGAAATTTGATTAAATAATATATTATTACGAATATTTATAAAGCTGCATGTACATATTTCAAGTATCACGGTATACTTCTATACGCTCCTGGTATAACAACTGCTGATTTTACTTTTAGATTTTAATGTACATTCAATCGTACAGTCAATTTAAATTATAATGGCAAATCAATTTCCTAGTGGAATCGATTTTCTTTTAGCACTAAAGACCACTAAAAGAAAGTTGATTCCACTAGAAAATTGATTTACCATTATAATTTAAATTAGTTGTATGATTGAACGTACATTAAAATCTGAAAGTAAAATCGGCAATTGTTATGCATGGAGCGTACAGAAATATACCGTGATGCTTGAAATACAAGTATATTGCTTTATAAATATTCGTAATGTATGTATTTAAATAATTGATATCGAATTAGTTGTGTTTCATATTTCGCTTGAATTTTCTTTTAATTTTTTATTTATTTTCTGTTTTATTAACCTCTCTCAGGTACAGCGGAAACTGGACACTTAGCTGCCTCACTGACGCAGCTATCGGTCGCTATTGGCCGAGAACGGTGACGAACATTAACAGCGGTTGCTAGCAACCAATAGCTGCGACAGTGGGACAGCTAATAAGAGGGGGATGTAAACTCAAAGGTGTCTTCTTGTCGCGTGAGGACTATATATATACAGTTTCTTCAAATATAATGACTGCGCGAGCTCCTCTCGTAATATAATACTTCTCGATATTTGGTACTGGCGTGTGTGCTTCGAGGAACCAATTAAGCAACACCTACGATGTATGGATCACGGCTATAGGATTCATATTCATTGCGATGCAAAATGACACGAATGCTATAACATTCAAATTTATAAGCCACATTGTCGTACACATTAAATGTATTATTATGCACTTTATCACACATTGTGTAGTTTTATTGCTAGTTTTACTCAGTGGCCAGCTATGTTTGATAGTCTAAATGACAACAATAAAAATTCAGGAATTCTCGCGATTGACCACAAGTTCTAGAACAGAAAACATAAAAATTTTCGCGATCGTCCGCACAGTGCCAACGTAATGGTTAAGTGATTAGTGACCGCGGACGTGTTAAGATCTATATGTTGCATGAATTCCGCACCTAAGGAGTTAAGTAACACTTTATCTTAACATTTTTCCAAGTTTCATTGTCAAATTAGAACACATGGTACGGAGTGATGTTGCAGGATGAAATATTTCACCGTGCCGACACTCGTCAACGTTTGCAAAGTTGCAAGGTTCCACATGCCCTTACACACGTGGTAGCATTGAAATGTATTTCTGCTTCTGTAACGTTGTCACACATCATCTCTTTGATGGGACGCGACGCGGCGGTGAAAACCCGACCGCTGATAGAACCCATCCATGTTCGCAACGTTGCAGGAGGAAGTTTGCCACACCGTCCGAACTGATACGATCGCATTACAAAATGGCGTTGACGATGCCGTTTAGTTCGTCCGGACAAGTCTTAAGAATCTGGTCGTGCTACGAGACGACTTTCGATAATAGAATATTGATTTCCAATTAATCTCAAGAGGATGAGCCATTGAATTTTAAACAGGGCTCTCTCCAACATCGATTATAATACGAGCGTCATATAAATATAATGTACGAGTATACATGTGTGTACGGATTGCAACCTAGTTAGGAAAGTAGAAATTTCCTTAACACATCGGGGCTCTTAAATGAGGCAAATGGAAAATCATTTAAGATTAAAAGTTTCCAGCAGTTTAATATCAACTTTTCTACCGGTTTGTCCCTCGAACTCAAAAAGATCTATACAAACTGTTTTCTGAGAGTATTTCGTCGTCATCGTCTATGATCGATAGACAATTTTTCCAATTAGGTGATCAGGAAAATTGAAAACAAATCACAAGCTTCGCTGAATTTTATTCGAACAACTGTTTGTTCAATAACGAATCAGAAGGTAGAATTTATTGATTTTGTTTTGCCATGACTTTTCATAACAAATAATAGTGAGAGTCTCGTAGTTTATAGCTCGAAGGAGGTGAAAATGATTTCATATAGGACGATAAATAAAAGAGTACCATAATTTATTGTTCGTACGGAGCCTAGTTTTCAAGAAAATCGATTTTAAAATACATAAAGTATGCGCGCTGTTCGGTATACAGTGCCATAATCATTTTTATGGTATTACTCTCAAGTTTAATATAGAATCTCTGTAACAATACGATCGATAAAACAATTTTGTAGAGAATTTCTCTTTGATAAAATAGTGACGCAAGTATTTTGGGCTAAATATCTATTTCTACTCAGTTCGGTACATGAACCTCTCGAATCCACACCAATTACAAAATACAAGAATCTTATTTTTGCCATCCGTAGTATTGTAAAATGCTTTTTATTGTTATTTATATTTTCAATATTCATGCAATAGAAACGTTTCCAGATGAGTACAAATGATGTTTTCAAGAAAAATTAGCTAATCTATCCGACCATTTATTCGAAACTTCTACGAATTTATGCTTTATACCAATGATGTCTATTTTGCACCAACGAAAGTATTAACACTCAAACGATGAGGCTCGGATCCATTTGGACCTAGAGTATAAATATTACTTGACTATCTAGGGTAGATGTCCCAGTTTCGCGCCTGCCCCGAATTAAAAACGTATAGAAAAAGAAAAGTTTTATATATAAATTAATGATCCCCATACTTTTTTATTATGTTTACCTATAAACATGTAAGATTCAGGGAGTTGCATCAATTTATTTATAAAAACTTTTATTTTTCTATACGTGTTTAATCCGGGGACACGAAAAATGCGACAGGCACGGAAACTGGGACATCTGACAATTAACTGTAATTTATTTTCTTTTTGAAGTACCTTAAAAAATTTGTTGAGAAAATTGATAAATGAAATTATAAATGATCCGAAATATACTCGGTTATATTTTTGTAAAACAAGTCTACCGTTCAAGCGTTGATACAAAAATAGTGACAAGCTCCTTATTGTTAAGATTTTATTTAAGAACACGTGATAAGAGTGTAAACCACGGACAACGTAAACCACGAACAACCATATGACATTACAAGAAGACACAAAATTGATAAAAATAAAAACGAGATTTTCATGTGCTCTCTTTATATTCATAAAGAACGCACTTCGATACATCGATTCAACCAATTCAAATACTTATTTTTTGAATAGTAATTGTATAAACATCTGTTTACATCTATTAAGTTACAACAAATGCTTGTTGTAGAGAACAACATTACTGTTGTCTCCAAATAATTTCTTATTTTTTATCGATGTTTCCCACTTTGTCTTTACGTAGATTCTTGGTGATATTGAAACATATAATTCCACTATTCTCCTTACTTTCATAAACGTCATGTATTTCGAGTACTAATTTAGAACATTCATATTACCACCGATTGTAAATGCTGGTAGAAACTGTTTGAAATAGTCTAACACTCAGGTTAACTTAAGTAGTACTAAAGAGCACTTATAAAAAATAAATTCTCAAGTAGCTCCTTGGCAAATTATAATTATTTTACTATACTTTTATGTATAGAGTATTAATGCCTAAGATGTTAAGACAAACGTACAATAACTACAAAATGGTTAATAAACAATACTAACGAAGTACAGTATAAATGAATGTTTTAATATGAAAACGTAAATGAAAATTATTCGATAGTCGCTCAATTATTGTATTAGAAAACAATTATTGTAATTAATAAAGTTATTAGAAAGTTACGTTTCAATACAGTTATTAAGAACTGACGACCCATTAAATAAAATTACCCAGGCTGTGTAAATCCATTAAATGCAATCTATTGCTAATTCAAGCACGAATAAGAATAGGAATTGATAAAATTAGGCTACAGTAATTTGAAGATTCGTTCAACTTTTTTGATCATCAGATTTCGATATCTTTCTCGTTGCTGTATTTCAGCTTGTTTAGCATCCTGAACCCTTATGAGTTCATTCAGTTTTATATACAGAGAAATACAAATACATTATATAATATAACACATCTACATGTACTTACTAGGAGCATGCCAACACACACATTTTCTAAATTAAGTAAAGAATTCATTAATCTAGGTCTCTTTGAATTATACAGTTCACATCGGCAGATAATGTGATTTAGGATTCGCTGCTCTGTTCACATTTACAAATGGAGTGATCAATAATGCCAACCCTCGCTGGGGACACGGCTAAGTTGAAGCGATCTGCTCGGATTCTATCGATGATAACAATTAAATTTCTTTCAAGTTTATCTACGAGCAAACTGAGACAGCTATACTTATGAATTCTATGGCATCGTTTTACATTTTTGTAATAGCTCGTTTTTTAAAGGTTTCCGAACAGATCGATGTAAAGAATGTTAGATTTTAGCTGATCGAATCGTGAGAACTCATTCGTTGGACGAGTCCAGTCGTGTCTCGCTCGACCAGGGTTTTCGTACACTAAGTAAGAATTGAAAAACTTACCTTGTCCTCCAGCTCGGAGACAACATTTACAACAGCATTCTCTGCCGATTTCATGAGGGATGCAGTCTGCTCCTTTGCTGACATGTGGCTGCGGAAGGACGCCTGGATTTTCGATGCCGCTTTACAGAGCTCTGACAACAAGCAAAGAAGAAAGTGCTCTTAAGTTAATGCCGATAGACGAGACCGGATTCGATACTCTGTTTCCTCGTCGAGTCAGCGAAACAGGATTGGGAATTCGAAGCCTCCTGGAGCGACGGTTTCAGAACGGAATTCCACGTAGATCTGACACGAATTTCAGATGGTACCCGTGTCCCGGGGATCTAATTTTCGGATGTGCTAGGAAAGAGGTGTTGCGAAAGGGACAAGTATCGAAAAGGACGTTACGTTGGGTTGTCCGGAAAGTTTGCGCCGATTTTTCAGGAAAATTCAAAGGCAACATTCCTATATAACGATAGATATATTTATTTAATTACGTATGCACCATCTTTCCTCCATTTTTCATAGAAATTAGATTTCATTCTCCCAGAATTTCTCAGGTTTTTCGGCGATAAACTCTTTCCGAGGTTTTCTTGCCGTTAAGGGAATTTTGCAAAGATCCGAATAAGTAGAATTCAGAAAAAAGTGCAATGTTCGGTGAATATGGCGGGTGGAGTAAGAGACTTTTTTCGGGTAGTCAAAGACGAGGCTTGGAATTGTCGCGATGCAATCCCACCAAATACACGGCACAACTTCGGATGGGTTATGATGATTCTGTCGCTTACACTAGGATATTTTGTGCTCATCGTTGTAAGTGATCGCTTCAAAAACGGTATGCTTATGTTGTGTTTATACAACAAAGCACAGATGTGGAAAGACTGAACGATTTATGCAATTAACTTTTACAAAACGCTTATAAATGATTGTTTCAGATATCTTTAATGTCTCTGCTAATTCACGCCCGGGTAAGTGCAGGCTACTTTCAATCAATATCTTTATTTCATTATCATCACTGCTGGATGGTCTGCCGCGCTTTCGTTGTCTTTGAAGCTGAAATCTTCAGCTCTAAACTTTGCGAACCACTTGGGCACAGTTCTCTTGGATAAAATATCTTCTCCGTAAACCTAACATCTCTTGGTTTTCCTTTGTGCAGCATTTTTGCCTTTGCGAAAATAATATAATATGTCTAGACTGTACTTTATTTTCTTTCATCGTGAACAAGCTACAAAACTGGCACATGTGAATTTATTCTAACCAACCTGTTTGCGAACTTGGTTGAAATGTCACTTGTCGGAACGTGTGCACAGGTCATTTGATTTTAACAATTCTGATATTTTCAAGCATGTCTTAGCGCAACATATCAAAAATCGGCTCAAGCTTTCCGGACAACTTATTAAATATCCTCATAAGGATAGAGCTAATCAGGGCGATCGCTTTTTAGTTTTGTAGCGATATTTGTGCATATGTATTTTCATCTAATTACAAATCATTATTGCATAACCGTAGTACACGATTGAATTTTCCAATTTATTAATAAAAAATAAAATATATAGATAAATATATAAAACGTATAAGATATATATATATATATATATATATATATATATATATATATATNATATATATATAAAAAATATAAGATATATATATATATATATATATATATATATATATATATATATATTATATTATAAATCCGTAAGTGTATGTCCACACATACGTATTTTCATTGCCTAAACATTATCGACAGTGGATGATGATACAGCAAAACAGCTTTTTAAACAATTTCCGTATGTTAGTTTGCTTCAAAATTTTTGACCTTTTATTTAAAAAATCATTTCAAAGATTATGCAGCTATATTATTTCCGTAATATCATAGCGTTTGTTGTATTCAGCAAACGTTGTAAATGTATTCAATGCGTCGCCATTCCGTAGCATTTGCCGAAGAATAGTCGAGGTAAATATGTCAGTTAATCCGATATTCCGGATTACCGGACGTCGGATAATGGGAACTCTACTGTAATATGGAACGCACTTCTCTTGTTCGTATTACTTTTAGATTTCGTTTTACACGGTTTCGACGCAATACACCATTCTAAAGATACGCGTAACACGGAAGACATTGTCATGATTTGCATCGTTTCTGTTTCGTTGAACGTGATTTCGATTCAACACGGAACGAATTGACCGTGTTGGAGCAGTATTGGTATTTCCGAATTAAGTATCCAGTCTTATAGATATATTGGAGACCAATAAAGTGGTTGAAAGAACACAGCAACATCTTTCATAACTCGTTACAAGAATTGTTACAAACTTTTAATGAATTTTAAACTTTACCATGAATTTTACAAACTATTGGTCCCTGTTTCCTCCCCTATTCGCACACTTTTGCCAGGGGTGTTTCCATTTCGCGAAACAGTCTTGAAGAGCTTCGCTTGAAATGGCCTGTAAGGTCTGTGACGAATTTACTTTCGTGTCATCAACAGTCTGAAAACGACGATCTTTCAGCATTGATTTCGGAAATGCTGCGAATCGCATATCACTAATATCTTCATTGGCGCGTAATTCAAAAAGTTCTGCTGCTAGATTCTAAATGGACCTCGTATGCGAATGTTATATCTGGAATGTTCACAGTATTTTCTGGTATGTTAGCGTCGATATTTTGTGTGCGCACAAATAGGTTATCTTAAACAAACAAAGCCGAAGGTAATATGTAACGTTGACGCTATAAACAAGTCAACGATTATAACGTTTCTGTCAGGGTCGAGCAATCTATTCGCTTGGTTTCCCCGAGCAGTATCAACCACTTTAAAAAATAGGTGGTTGACCCAGTTCTGAATTGGGAATGAGTTCGGAATTCGAAATGGTAGAAATTCGCCTGACTTGTGGCTGATCTGTTAGTGAAACTCAGCTGATTTCTATTTGCATAACCGATCGAGCTTCGAACTATCATACAAATCACAAATTAAAGTTGAATCCCTTCGTAGTACATATGTAATTCGTTCGACAGAAGCGATGTTAATTGTACAGATCGATGCAAATACATAAAAACTATCGTCTTGTCTACAAATAAATGGACAACGAGCACCAACGTTTCCTCGTGTATGAAGATTAAGTTTTCAATAATATTCTTTTCAAAACTTATCCTCTAAAATATAAAATCTTANAATAAAAAATAAAATATATAGATAAATATATAAAACGTATAAGATATATATATATATATATATATATATATATATATATATATATATTATATTATAAATCCGTAAGTGTATGTCCACACATACGTATTTTCATTGCCTAAACATTATCGACAGTGGATGATGATACAGCAAAACAGCTTTTTAAACAATTTCCGTATGTTAGTTTGCTTCAAAATTTTTGACCTTTTATTTAAAAAATCATTTCAAAGATTATGCAGCTATATTATTTCCGTAATATCATAGCGTTTGTTGTATTCAGCAAACGTTGTAAATGTATTCAATGCGTCGCCATTCCGTAGCATTTGCCGAAGAATAGTCGAGGTAAATATGTCAGTTAATCCGATATTCCGGATTACCGGACGTCGGATAATGGGAACTCTACTGTAATATGGAACGCACTTCTCTTGTTCGTATTACTTTTAGATTTCGTTTTACACGGTTTCGACGCAATACACCATTCTAAAGATACGCGTAACACGGAAGACATTGTCATGATTTGCATCGTTTCTGTTTCGTTGAACGTGATTTCGATTCAACACGGAACGAATTGACCGTGTTGGAGCAGTATTGGTATTTCCGAATTAAGTATCCAGTCTTATAGATATATTGGAGACCAATAAAGTGGTTGAAAGAACACAGCAACATCTTTCATAACTCGTTACAAGAATTGTTACAAACTTTTAATGAATTTTAAACTTTACCATGAATTTTACAAACTATTGGTCCCTGTTTCCTCCCCTATTCGCACACTTTTGCCAGGGGTGTTTCCATTTCGCGAAACAGTCTTGAAGAGCTTCGCTTGAAATGGCCTGTAAGGTCTGTGACGAATTTACTTTCGTGTCATCAACAGTCTGAAAACGACGATCTTTCAGCATTGATTTCGGAAATGCTGCGAATCGCATATCACTAATATCTTCATTGGCGCGTAATTCAAAAAGTTCTGCTGCTAGATTCTAAATGGACCTCGTATGCGAATGTTATATCTGGAATGTTCACAGTATTTTCTGGTATGTTAGCGTCGATATTTTGTGTGCGCACAAATAGGTTATCTTAAACAAACAAAGCCGAAGGTAATATGTAACGTTGACGCTATAAACAAGTCAACGATTATAACGTTTCTGTCAGGGTCGAGCAATCTATTCGCTTGGTTTCCCCGAGCAGTATCAACCACTTTAAAAAATAGGTGGTTGACCCAGTTCTGAATTGGGAATGAGTTCGGAATTCGAAATGGTAGAAATTCGCCTGACTTGTGGCTGATCTGTTAGTGAAACTCAGCTGATTTCTATTTGCATAACCGATCGAGCTTCGAACTATCATACAAATCACAAATTAAAGTTGAATCCCTTCGTAGTACATATGTAATTCGTTCGACAGAAGCGATGTTAATTGTACAGATCGATGCAAATACATAAAAACTATCGTCTTGTCTACAAATAAATGGACAACGAGCACCAACGTTTCCTCGTGTATGAAGATTAAGTTTTCAATAATATTCTTTTCAAAACTTATCCTCTAAAATATAAAATCTTAGATAAAAATAAGTATGAAAGTAACTGAAAAATTTGAATTTATATTTAAAAATGTTTAAATTTGCTCTTTTTATGTTTATCTTCAAATATTTCCAGGAACGTGATCGAATGAATTATACCTAGTACATATTTTGAAAAATGTAATGAAGGGTTTTTATTGGAATTGTTTATGTTTAAAATCTCTCATTTATAAGCAAAAGTATTAAATAAAATATTATTATAAAAATTTGGGACAAACCGTGTTGATGAAATTTTCAATTTTATCAATACTTATGAAACAATAGTTACAGTCGTTATCGTTCGATAAGATAATTGACCGATTGCGCTGGCGGTAAAATACGAATATTATAGTAATGGCAAATCGTGGATCGTGTGCCAGCTGCATAGCATTCAAGGGGAGGAATTTCTCGATAAACTCTC